TATCCAATAGAACATCAGCAGGTGATCCAACTAAATTAGTTGACCGGCCTTGTTTATCCTTTTGTGATCTCAACAAAAGCGCTTCCATTGAATCCACCGAAGTAATGGTCACCGTAAACTGGTTGCGTTGTCATATTCAGTTGTCCACCAAACAATCAGTAGTGCGTCAAATTGTTTTGTTACATATTAATGAGAATATTGATAGCTTACAATGTGGATGGCTTGGAAGGAGCAAGAAGCGCTAGCCACGCACGTGGGGAGGAGGGTTTATCGAATATGTAAAAGTAGTAAGACGATGAAGATAAAAAGAAGATAACACGCTGTGCATCATCGGAAGATAGTTTTACTGTCGTAATGAAAGCTCGAGTGAATCGAGCTGATTTTGTAAGAGTCGATAGTTTGGTCGCTATGATGCCGTACCAGGCATTGTATAAAGCATTGAATAACAGCTTGGTGGGTTAAAAGGACGGACGAGTGGGTGTTGAAAGAACAAGATGGTATATGGGAGACTTAGGGTACTAGGTAATAATGGTATCATGTTAAGACAAATAGTTGGTCAGTGTAGCAATGCTTAATAAATCAACGATATCTTCAATATATGCTATACTTTACAGTTCAGTTTTTACATACTGCATCTGGTGAGTGATGAGATATATTTATTTAAGCGATGTGATACATATATTTGAAAGATATATTCTTAATTTACATTCTCATTTACATTCTATGTTTGTTACAATCAAAATTGACAATGCTAGACTTTAAAAGATAATTATCATTGGCTACCAGTATGGAGGGAACCAATTTATACACGTACATCAGTTGATGTAGGTAAACCATTCAGGCGCCGACCGTCCAAGTCACATTCTTCGAAAGTGGGTATACCTTTCTCGGCGAATTCACCGCGTGGTTTCGTCTGTATATTAGAAACATACACAGCGGCGAGTTTACCCACGCTGAGTGGAAACTCCATCGAGAGCTTCCACCGAGAATACTCAAGTCGCATACGAATGTTTACGTACGCGACGTGCACCAAATTTTGCTAAAAAAAAAAAAAAAGCAATGTAAATAAAATGCAATGCCAACGCGTATCTGTTCAGGCAAAACTCGTAGAAAGTAAAATATAATTACCGTGCTAAAACGAGGTCTCTTATTCTTAGTAGCTCCTCCTCATAGTCAGGGCGAGCATAAATATATAAATAGCCTATGAAAAGACATAGGAAAGTAACAAAACGATTAGCACATCGGGTCATTGACATCAATACGAATACGATGAGAAGCGCGGATGATGTAAGAATTTCATTAACTGCATAATAAACACTTGCCACAACCACCACGACCAACGACCATCCTTCCGTTATATTCACTGCTTACTTATCGTATCTACCACTCCTAAATACTAATAATATCTGAAAGAGAACTTACCACTACAAAAAGCAGCCGGTATCGTACCTCGGATGATATCAATGATATCATCGGCGTCACGATCATTGTTTTCTTGATGTCGCTGGCATCTCGTAGTAAAAGTTTTGGTTTTTTTGTAAATGGTGGTAATAATAACATTATAATGAGGATGGGACATGGGTGCTGGTAAGAGAAATTGCGGTATGCCTTGGGGTTTTATATTCTGTCATGAAATCTGCTTGCGCAGTTGAATGCGTAATGTTGTGAACCTTGAACAAAGAAATCTGTATACAGTCTACTGTTGTATATGTTAAGTCACCCATCGAATATGGAATATACCTCTTTCAAAATCAAATCAGGGTCCTGCGCCCTGCAGTCATGCCGATCCGCCAGAAATTCTCAATAGTGATAGCGACATTCTTACGTTTGTATTCCTGATATTGAGCCACTTGCACATGAAGACTAGTACGCCACATTCTTTGTATTGTGGTCTCACGATATCATGATTGTTAACATTTATATTCAATAATGTAATAGAGTTAGTTCATCAGTCATAGATAACATGGGAATATTCTTGTAGACCAACTCTTTTAGGGTTGTTGTATAATCAAGATGTTGCTGATTAAATGAAATCGGTCCGTATCCAATAATGGACAAATTCATAGAACGTTCAATATACATGATATAACACCATTGTCAATGTATCACTATCGGAACTATCGCAGATTTGCTCCGGTGTGGGGGTGACGGTGACAGCGTATGTTATCCTTATCACACGGATTTCTACCAACCTAAATCTTGAAACCCGTCTTCTTTCAGCCTGACAGTAGTCGCTTGAGAAACCTAAGATGTGAGATGACAAGTTGGTTAGAACAATATTAACAGCATCAGTTCGAATAATACATATATTTCGTTGTTATACAGAATGTGATGTTTTGTGAATTGATGTGATGAAAACGATATATTTATTTTTGCATGCATATACTGTATCTGATATATCAGTATAAACCTGTATGCATCCAGTTATATACAAAGAACAATTTTCTGTCAATAGAAAAGCAGTCCCAACTAATATCAATGGCAATGATAGCTCTTTGAAAATGCCATAGACAATACGTTAATAGTCGATATTCTCTTTGTCCTACACTTAGTCTTAATATACATAACAATGTTCAACGATTTTTTTTTTAATACAAGTTACTATTGGTTAATGCGTGATTGGTTAGTCATAGATTGACGCAGCGAGCAGGGCATAGTTTATTGTTAATTTTCTTATGTGCATATAGTCTAGTATGCTTTCAATCCTTGATATCATATTGACCTATTCAAAAGAGAAACATGAGTAATGAGGTTCTCTACAGTTTAAAGATAACCGTGATGATATTTTGCTCACATAATGTTACTGGCTACATGTTGCCTGTTTGGATAAAAATTGAGAAGAAATTAGCATTAAGTTATCAATACCGAGTAAGATGTAATAAAAGAAGATATTTTACTTTGTTCATAGAGGGTTCGAGCTAACGGGCTTTACTAATTTCTCCTGATTATATAAACGTCTATCATTGTTATACAAACATTTTTCATGGTCAAAGGATGGCTGTGCACATTGAATAGGTCTTTTGAAATACTCTCAACAATTATAAATTTAGTTTTGTTTATTCATACTCAACGACTCGGAATGTGTTTGATACCAGTCTTATTGTTGTACGGAGGTAATTGACACAAATCTTAAATTTACATCTTGCTATTAGTGATTGGATCACTATTTTAGCCATCACGGAATCCTACAAACTTTAATTTTCCGGAAGTGGCTTCCGGCGAGATGCAAAAATATATACTTATTATACATATAACAATTGACTATACACAGTATATCTAATAAAGGATAGTTAAAAAATAGTCCGCAGAATTCTCTTTCAACTTGTCTACACATATAATTACATGCATGCATATAAAATGTATCAGTATACTCAGCCCATTTGAAGAAGAATGTCCCCTTGTTCAATTCCAATTTTAAGATGGCTTCTTTTTCGTTTCGGAATTTCTCTTCCGCGTTCATAACAGGTTTGAACCTCTTTTCTTTATCTTCTTTTGCTATATCAGTTAACTTTAGTATTACCAGTGATTTTATGGTAAAGATGTGTTATCTAATAAAGGCGCTGGCTGAACTTCAATTATGTGTTTGTTGTTGATAATGAAATAATATCGAATTTATATTGGTAATAAGTAATGGAAAACACTATAGAATTTTATATTAATATTCCCACAAGCAAAGGAATAGATTGATAAGCAGTAACGCGGATATATTGTTTATGTCCCCGGTCGATTCTAACCAAAATAATACTAATTATTATCAAACAAAGGGATTCAGAACTATCGTACAATACATTCTCATGACCAGCAGAAATCGAAAAATAGATTGATATCTGGCATATACCTGTTTGACACCAATAATAACGTAAAGATCGAAAAGCTTCTTCTGATTCTCAGATTGGAAGAATAGAACATTTTTTGTATGCAATCTAGTTAGGCAAAATTCATTCTTAATCCAATGACCAGTAGTTTGCCATTCTATGTAAGACTGTCTTATGATTTCGGGAATGCTTTTTTCCGTATTCTTCCAATATGCAAGTAAACAGGTTCAAAATTTTGGTATCGTTTCTTGGCAATAGTAGCACCAACTGATTATTCATGGGGAAGGTGAGTGATAAGACAAAGACGTTGTCAATGGCAATTGCATATGATATAGTTATAGTTGTACATGATATTACTGAAAGAACAATAGAACAAATACCTTATAAAATGTTTCCATAAAGTGTCACAGAAAGAACAATATAGAACAGATAAAAAATAAATGAAAAGTATACCTGGTAAATGACTGTTTGCATACAATCTCGTTTAAACAAAGATGTTCTAAAGCCAATCTATTATTGAGGGAATTAAGCAAAATAACTGGCGAAAGACAATAAACGTATTGTCTATGGCGAGTCAAAAATTGACAAACAGAATCACAAACCAACTAAAGGCGTCATCAATAATAAATTATATAGCACAAGAAATGCTTGCTTGCAAAGAACCGTAGCATATAAATCCGATGGTATATAAATGATACTTTACAAATACAGTACGTACGCTAAATAACATAGGCAACAATCATATGTGTAAAGAGATTGTGAACATAACATGTAAAATAACGTTCGCGCGGTATATACAACAATGACAGAAATTACAAACGATAATACTTGCTAATGAGTTTCCAAAACAGGCACATGCGTCGTCATTATATCAAATCGATAATAATTACGGAAATGAGTTTTTACTTATAAATAAACCCTGCACCCCATCAGCAACATGCAAATGCTAAAGCTACTACTATACTATAACCCTAGCCCTAACCCTAACCCTAATCCTAAACCAACCATAACCTATTACTACTCTATTTTAAAATCTGACCGTGAATACCACCACTCTGCAACGGTATCCAGCATTCGCTTGCATTAGAAGCCACGCTCGGAGGTGCTCATTTAATAATAAATTTAAACAGCAATGTATTTCTACACCAACATGTAGCAGTTAACTGAACGGTTTTTATTATCTAGAGCTCTGCGCTGGATATCCATTTGAGTCCAGAGGAGTCTAAGCTGTCTAAGGACGGCTGAAGAAGGTCTTGTGTCGCTCCATAAATAGAATGACGAAGACAGCAATTATGAAATTCTGCGATTGATCCATTGTAAGATGCAATGACTGTTAGGAGTGTTGTTGTGGACCATTATGTAAAGAAGTACATTGCTGTTTAAATTTATTATTAAATGAGCACTTCCGAGCGTAGCTTCTAATGCGAGCGAATGCTGGATAGACCATTATGTGAAGAAATACATTGCTGTTTAAATTTATTATTAAATGAGCAATAAAACATGTACGATTGTCAATCTCAGAAGAAAAATAATAAACCTCCGTTTACCGTGTAATAAAAAGAGAAAAGCCGAAGGGACTATTACTGATGGTTCTCGAAATTAATCTACGCGGGATTCCTTTGTTGAGATCACAAAAGGATAAACAAGGCCGGTCAACTAATTTAGTTGGATCACCTGCTGATGTTCTATTGGATA